GAGCACAGGATCACCTTATTTTAGTAAACACATTTAGCAACCCATCTGTATTCTATGTTTTCAGCAGAAATATTAATATCAGCACAGGGAAAAAATGGCAGGGGTTATCCATGCACACTGGCTTACAAATCGCTGCTTCTACAGGAGTTTAGGGTTTTGCCTGTAGAAGCAGCTCAGTGTTATCCTATGGGTTGTGCACATTAGCACGATTATAGGCAGGGGGGAAAAAAAAACTTTCTGGTTTGCGTTTTTGAATGGAGCTTTCTGGCAGAAACAAAAAAAACCGCTAAACTCGCCTAAACTGTGTACAAAAATGCTCTATATCAACGTTTTTTATCTGCCAAGGGAACTGGCGTTATTTTCAAGCCCGGTATGCATGGAGCCTAGTCTTACATTAGCAACATTACTGAAACAAAATTCATGCTGAAGTACAAAAAAAAACGCACCTGAATGCATGCAAACTGAAGGGAAAAAAATAATTTCTGACGCCCCAGAGTGAATAGACCACCTATGTCAAAACGAAGAAAAAAATGCCTGCCGATTTGATTTCTGTAACCAGGGTTTACTAATCCGTCTGCTAAACTTCAAAGAATCCGCATGACCAACCACTGCTAAAAATGTATTGATTCGTTTCAGATTCACCCAAATAAGAACACGCATAAAAATAATAGAAATAATAACAACAACAAATAATTTGTTATTATTATTCAGAAGCTTGTGTTAAAAAATCATGCATAAATATGCAATACATGCATGTAAATATGTATTATGTATATACATATGCAGCGATGTATAGTTGACCTCTAAATTTGCATAATTTGAAGGGAATCCTTGTTTTTGGTCTGAGATGCCATTAATTTGAATGAAGAAGGCATGCTCGCTTCAACATATAGGAATACACTTGCATGCAAACTTTGGTGTCCGTTTGTGAACCAGAGGTAATAGATCGCTGCTCAGCTTATTTTCTCCGGCATTCTCGGAGAACAAAGTTCTCCTGTGAATGCAGTTTATGAAGCAGTTCTCCGAACGAATGAGAACGGTCTCCAAACGCTGGATAACGGTCTAAAAAAAAACTCTGAAAAACGGCTCATTTTACTATAATCTCTCCAGATTATAGTAAAAGACCAGTTTACTAAGCAGAGGTAAATTATCTCTGCTTAGTTTTCGGTCCCTCTGATTCTCCAGCTCTGGGCTGGAGAATCTGGACGGAGAACACAGATCTCCAGTGAAGGGCTGACATGATCTCCTAAGTGTTATAAAATGTGGAATGACCAGAGAATAGCTGAGATCTGTTGAATCGCAGCATTCAAAAAGGACACCTTTATTGTTAACTGGACATGAAGCAAAAATATTGTGGATGTAGTTACATTTGTCCATTAAAAAAATTAAAATAAAAAAATTTTATATATATATATATATATAAATATATATATATATATATATCGATCTATCAATCTATTTATCTGTCTATGGTGTCCGTTTGTGAACCAGAGGTAATAGATCGCTGCTCAGTTCTCCGGCATTCTCGGAGAACAAAGTTCTCCTGTGAATGCAGTTTATGAAGCAGTTCTCCGAACGAAGGGAGAACGGTTTCCAAACGCTGGATAACGGTCTACAAACTGTGAAAAACGGCTCATTTTACTATAATCTCTCCAGATTATAGTAAAAGACCAGTTTACTAAGCAGAGGTAAATTATCTCTGCTTAGTTTTCGGTCCCTCTGATTCTCCAGCTCTGGGCTGGAGAATCTGGACGGAGAACACAGATCTCCAGAGAAGGGCTGACAGGATCTCCTGAGTGTTATAAACTGTGAATGACCAGAGAATAGCTGAGATCCGTTGAATCGCAGCTATTCTCTGGTTCACAAACGGACACCTATGTATCTATCTCAGACAATCAGCTACACACTACAATAAAACCATGTATATAGCAATAATAGTGAATTGTCAAAAATACAGCATGAGAAAAATACATTACACACACGTCCTCTTTCCAAAAGCCCACAAGAATGACAGCCTGTCAGTAGAGCTTTCCCCATTATGGAACTATAAGTCGCAGCTAGCCTTTCACATCAGCCAGAGAATTTACATGATCAGCCAGAAAGCGAAAAGGTCATGCTGAAAAGACACACACACATATATATATATATACACCAAACACACATACACACCTATATACATACACATATACACACACACACATAGATATATATATATAAAAATAATATACATATACATAGACACACTCATGCCAACACACACATTTTAATATATATATATATATATACACACACATAAACACACACACTCACATACATACACATAGACACACACACACATAAAGTGATGTTTCGGTAAAGATGATATACCTTAGGGTGTATTAAAAAAAACACATTGGAGTTGATTTATTGAAAGAACGTAGATTGTTCGCTTTGCAAATTGTATGTTAATTTTTTAGGGTGAATATTTAAATGGCTTCAATAATTTAGGTGAAGCTCTATTCAGTTTGAATATCAATGAATTTGAAGCGGAAATTATAATTTAAAAAAAGGTTTGCATGCTTGCACATGATTATGAAGTGAACACAACTTCACTGTATTACCTATGCTAACTTAACATTCACTTTTAAAAGTGAAGTGTCAATTTTTTAGAAAATTAACCTACATGATTATGTGTTTTGTACAGTGGACAATCGAACTGACATCTCAAATATCCAATGATGTACAGGGAGTTAATCTTTTTTGTTCTTTTCCTTTGTGTTTTTTTTTAAAGATAATTGTGAGGTTTATTTACTAGGGAGCAGAGGATAGCAAAGAGAATTTAAGTAAATAAGGTGAAACTGTGTTCACTTGGAATATCCTATCATGTGTGAGGAAATGAAAATAAATAAATAAAACATACATTCACCCCCTTACCCAATTTTTATCCTTTTCTTCTAGGATTTTTCGTGTTATTTTTTACAGCTATATCAATCAATATCAATTAATATTAATATCAGTTATCAATAACACATTTTATATTTCAAAGCACTTGACTACATTCCCTATTAAATATACCCATGTGATTCTTTGGAGAAAAGCAAGCCACAACTCCAGTTGTTTTAAGTAACAAGAATTTAATTTAATTACAAATAAGAGATATATGAAATTATAACTCTTTAATAAAATATATACCATTTTACACAATGTCCCTTTCAAAGGGATGGTAATATGAGAAAGTATGAAAGGCTGGTCAGTGGTTCGTGTTTCAGCAGTAAAACAAAAAAAAATATTTGTATAACAAGTTCTACCTATAGAAAGATTGATTTCTGGAGAATCCCTTTAAAAAATTCTTTATGAAAAACAAAAGTGAAAACATACCTTAAAAATGGCTTAGAAGTAAGGAAATCAGTGATTTAATCGATACAAAGTGTGTGCTCAACTGGCACAAATGTAATTAACCTTCCAATAAAAAGTCATTGTGCTACATTATTATATTTGGTATTGCAGATTAGAGATGATTGATTTGCACTGGTGTAAGAGAACTCCATTAGCATTGACAGTAGATGTGATTCCTAAGGCACAGATAAGAAGGCTGGTCTACCAATGGGGTTGTTTTACACTGGTCAAGCCAACCTGTGCTTAAACACCCAATAAGAGACAACTCTAAAGCATCTTATTGGCTAGAAAAATGTGGAACCAGCACTTTAGTAAACCCCACCACAAGGTGAATATTAAGTTATAACCAAAAATGTAACTCATTTAACTAACATTGTTGAAAGGTTTGGTGCTACACTCACAATTGGTGTCACCTATAACAAACCTTTCCTGATTAGGAAAATACACCATACAGTGCTTTGTAAAAGTGAACTGCTGGAGCTGATTGATGTAGGAAAAGTGGAGCAAAACTGCAACTGGCATGCTTAAAGCAGTATTCGACCCAAAAACGAAAAAGTTACATATTGCAACATACCAATCCTTAAATTTGGTGGCTGCATTCAATTTCTTTAAGGTTTTTTTTTTTGTTTTCACAGTGATCATGCCAGTAGCATGGTGTTAGGGTGTCTCCACTTTAGATGGAGGAGGAATGGAGACACCTTTGGACAGCAGCCTTATCAAACTGGGGAGAGGGTGGTGTTAGATATACTAGCAAATTAGGATAGACTTGACTAACAAATTGAATCCAAACTCCAGCTAACACTTTTTAAGCAGTTACAGCAAACATTTTTTTCTTGATTTAAATGTTTTGCATAACTGACTAAAAGGCTGACCATTGTAAGCACCCCTTTCAGTGTTAAATGGTTTGTCTCAACACTCTTTTGCTGGATATCTTGGTCTGTCAACGGAAGTTGAAATATAACAGACTTACTGGCTGGATCACCAGGTGAAAATAAAGTGGAAAAAAAAGCCTAAAAAAGGAAACGTAGGCAGCCACTTCATCTATGAATTGGTAAGCTGCAATACAATAAAAAAATGTTTGGTTTTAGGTTTAATACAACTGTAGCAAGCAATCAAAATGTGTTATTTCATTTTCCCAGAGAAAGACAGATGAGAACTGGCTGGTTGCTATAGGCAAAGGCTTTATTTTAGCTCCTGATGTCTTTGCTCCAGCTTTGGTACTTCAGACACACTAACATTGCAGATTCTGCTCTTATCTACTAACAGGTTTTGAAAAGCCCACTCTTTGGTAAATTCTCTCCCCCTCTTCTTTTTATCTACATTTTTACACCATCATTCTTCCAGGATTTCTTATAGATTTGATTGTGGGACCTATACAACCAAGAACTAGATGATTTTGTAGACAGGAGTAAAAATGACAGCACACTTTTCCATCTCCTACAGAGTGTCCCTCAGTATCCAGCTTTTTGGCCCACTGGCAGGCTGCAAGGCACTTGTAAATTTAGAGTTTATGGAAGAGGGTAAATCCAGAGAGCAACCAGCACTGTCCTGGGTCTTTGGTGCAGTTGGGGGCTAGCAGAAGGCCCATCAAGTAGTCCAAACAACCAGTCCATACAGCAGCTGCCTCAAGACAAGTGATACATGCTGTATCCAACAGGAGTAGCATAGAGTCCTACAGGTGGGATGGGAAGGACCGGTCTGTGGAGCTGGTAGGAGGATCCATACAATGAAGCAGCTGGGATGGGGGAATTGATAGGGAAAGGTAAACTGAAGCCATGGGGAAGTATGGGCTTTGCTGCCATTTTCAGCTTTTCCAGTTCAGCCTCCTGCAGTCTTTTGGCTTTGGCTCTGCGGTTCTGGAACCAGATTTTGACCTGGGTCTCTGTGAGGTTGAGAGAACTGGAGAACTCAGCTCGTTCTGCTATGGAGAGGTATTGCTTCTGGCGGAATTTGCGCTCCAGGGCCAACAACTGCGACGTGGTGAAGGGAGTTCTGGGCTTGCGGTTGGTTTTGTGTTTCCTCAGGGTGCAGGTAGATGGGCTTAAATGTCCTGCAAAATAAAAGGATATGCATTAGAAGAAGGAAGGCCAAGCACCCCATGGGGTTGTGATACCCACATCAGCAACTTGGTGTACGCCAAAATGTAAAAAAGAAATGATATATGGAAAGTGAAACATAAGGAGAATCAGAATGTTGTCCTTGGCAACCCATCAAGGATTATCTGTTGGTACCCCGCTATAGAAAAATTAAAAGGAAGCAACAGATGCTGAGGACAAAATCTTCACAGTGGCTAAATTAGCACTTCTGCCTGGCAGTACTAGGGTTGTTGGTTCGAATCCCAACCACGGCACCACCTGCCTGGAGTTTGTATGTTCTCCCTGTGCCTGCATGGGTTTCCTCCCACACTCCAAAGACATGCTGATAGGTTAATTGGATCCTGTATCAATTGTCCCTATCAAATGTGTATGTATGAATGTTTGTTAGGGACCTTAGATTGTATACTCCTTGAGGGCTAGGGACTGATGTGTATGTACAATATATATATATATATATATATATATGTAAAGTGCTGTGTAAATTGACAGCAATATATAAGTACCTGTAATATATAAATAAATAAAATAACTGGATTCTGTCTAAATTGCCCCTAGTATGTGTATGAATGTAAGTTAGGGACCTTAGATTGTATGCCCCTTGAGGGCTAGGGACTGATGTGAATGTACAATATATATGCAAAGTGCTGTGTAAATTGATGGTACTATATAAGTACCTATAATAAATAAATCACTTGTTGGTGTGTCACTTTCAATAGGTCATTATGTACATTGCTCCATTTTTTTCAATATGTAATAACCCCCTCTATTTCACATATCAGTCCTGGTGACTATACACTGAGGGCCAGTTCACAGGACAAAAAACACACTGCGGATACATTCCGGATACGTTTCTGCTTACAGTTCACACCACATTCCATTGCAATGAAGTTTTGTTGCAGTTTGCAATATGTTCCAGTATGGTTCAGTACCTTAGGGTACTCATGTGAATGTTCAATATATGTAAAGCACTGTGTAAAATGACAGCGCTATATAAGTACCTGAAATAAAAAAATGAATTAAAAATGCAGCATGTTCTACTTTTTTTTCTGCACCGGAAACTGACTGGAATTGGAATAAATGGAAAACACTGTGCATGCATTTTTGATGCAGGAAAAAACGCACTGCACTGTGGCTGGTGTGAACTAGTCCCGAGCGCCAGTTCACACTACAAAAACGCGCCCTCCAGATACATTCTGAATACATTTTTGCTTACATTCACACCACACACAGTTCTGGTGCAGTTTTGATGCAGGTTACTATGTTCCAGTATGGTTCTGTGCAGAAAAAATACAGCATGTTTACTTTTTTTTCTGCACCAGAAACTGACTGGAACTGACTGCACTAGTGTGAACTAGGGCCATTGGAATACATGGAAAACACTGTGCATGCAATTTTGATGTAGAAAAAAAAACGCACTAGACTGAATTTGGTGTGAACTAGTCCTGAAGCAATGCAGCTAAATTACAAACTGCCTGTAAAGAGGGGAATTTACTAAGACTGGAGCAGTTGTGCCTGAGTTCAGAGGAGGATCTTACATCTGACAAAGTAAACAGGTATAGTGATAAACCAAAATATTATTATTATTATTACAGTATTATTATACAGTATTTATAAAGCGCCAATAGTTCGCTCAGCGCTGTACATTACAAAGGGGGACAGAACATGTGACAGAACAATACCAATACAATGCAAAACATGAGGGGATCGAGGGCCCTGCTCTTTCGAGCTTACAATCTAGGAGGGAGGGGATAAAATAATTCACTTATATAAAGTAGGTAAGTTTCCAGATTGTTTTATGGCTGGAGTAGAAAGTGTTCAGTTAGTGAAAAGGGCCATATCATGTTCATTTTAATTAATCCAATAATGTGCAAACAAAAAAAAAAGACGTTTTAAATGTTCCCTGTTAATAATGTATAGATTACAGCTTTACCCAATTCCCCTGTGTGAAGTAACAATGACTTAGCAAAAGGAACATTCTCTTCTTGATTTTAGTAAATCAACCAACTCCTGGGGAAACTACAGCAATCGTTAAATAGGTCGTTACGTTTATGTGGACTCTGTCATTTAATAACGGTTGGAAAGAAAAAATAAATGTTAGCCATCAATGTAGTAAGTGTTCCACCTAATAAAACATCAAAGGAGAAGGAGCAGAGTCGTCAATAGATCGGGAATTTATAGCAATGACACACACTTCTACATCGCTGGACCTATAATTCAACAAGAGCATGTCAAGGGAATGGAAGAAACTCAGCTCACTTTACACAGGAAAAGTCATCACCATGTAGAAATACAGATATGTAATTATCTGCATGCATGGAGTTTCCTCTCTACAATTTGGTTGCCATTTATTAGCATTTGTTTTATTGGGTACAGGGCACGACTTCAAAAGCAGCCTAAAGTTCAAGTGAAGTTTTACAGTAGCAATGATTAAAACGAAGATTAAAGTGTTCTCGTTTTAATAGAGGCTTCTTCTCTCCCAGACACTAAAGGATGATTAGAGATTATCGTAATCCTGCTATAAAAATGATATAAACATATCACATTTATTATCCCTTAAGAATAATACATCAATATCAATAAATATCGGGAGTGATTCTCTATAAGAGTCATTTTAAAAACTGATTGAATCACGCAGATGCATGAAGGAAAGTATATGAGTGCTATAGGAAATAGGGGGACTCCTAGTGGAGGGGATCTCTCCGTAGATCGATTAGATTGTATAGACACCGCGTACTATTCTATGCACACATCCCACATGACATCGGCTGAAAAGAATCCTTAAGTACTACTGACAGCCCAGCCCAATTCACCCGAAATATACCTGTTCAATTATTGATGTATTCATCCACAAGGTACAGATGGTACCCTGCTTCCCCGCCTAATTACATTTTAATTGTTCATTCCTAGAATTACCAATTCATTATTCTTGGTTAACTAGTAACGTAATGCACTTATTTATAAACGAAATGTTCTTTTTTTTTTAATAAAGCCTAAGCCCCTGTAATTGCCTGTAATTATATTCGCAATAAGATGATATCAACTTTAATTCAACAAAGTTATGCTATTTATTAAGAAAAGCTGAAAGACTTTTTATTAAAAGAGAGAGTATATATATATGAGAATGTCTGGTATATAGATAGAGAGATAATGAGAATATTTGGAGAGAGAGAGGGAGAGAGAGAGAGGGAGAGGGAGAGGGAGAGGGGAGAGAGAGAGAGAGAGAGAGAGAGAGAGAGAGAGAGAGAGAGAGAGAGAGAGAGAGAATATTTGGGTTTGAGAGAGAGAAAGAGGGATAGAATGAGAATATTTGGTTTGCGAGAGAGATAGAGAGATACAAAAAGGGAGAGAATGAGAATATTTGGTTTGCGAGAGAGAGAGAGAGAGAAAGAGGGAGAGAATTAGAATATTTGGTTTGAGAGAGAGAGAAAGAGGGAGAGAATGAGAACATTTGGTGAGAGAGAAAGAGGAGAATATTTGTTGAGAGAGAAAGGGAGAATATTTGGTGAGAGAGATGAGGATACTTTATGTGTGTGTATATATATATATATATATATACACCAAATAATATTCTCATCTCTCTCACCAAATATTCTCTCTGGTGTGTATAAATATATATAGTGTATATATATATATATATATATACACACACATACAAATATATATATATATATACACACACATATATATATATACATATATATATATTTATACACACCAGACAGAGAGTGAATATTTGGTGAGAGAGAGATGAGAATATTGTTTGGTGTGTATATATATATATATGTGTGTGTGTGTGTGTGTGTGTGTGTGTGTGTGTGTGTAAAAAATATAAATATATATATATATATATATATATATATATATATATATATATAAAAGCACACGTCAGAGAGAGAATATTTGGAGAGAGAGAGAGAGATTGATTATATATATATTAGAGAAAGATGGAATATATGTGTGTGTGTGTGTAAGATCCTTCCAAAAAATTAGAGTAGAATAGCTGAACCTCTTATTAACAGCCAAACTGTTGTGATGGTAAATTGTATCAAATATTGGTGGCCATTTCCCAGATCTGGAATGTCTATATAAAAGTGGTAATTTATCCTTTGTGTAGCACACAGTGGGAGTTGATTTACTAAAGGAATGGCCACAGCTCATTCATTGTTAATAGAGTAAAGCTGTGCCCACTTCAATCACAATAGGCAGGCATATCGTATATTGTTGAGTCCCCTCAAGATTAAGGATTCAAAATGAGCCCAGATTCACTAAGCTGAGTGAATATTCACTTGATCGGTGTGTACATTCCAGCCCTGTGTGTCTTGCAAGGATTTCTGATGGCCTTGACAATGAGAAGAGAATTTACATGGCGCATCAGGTATGATGATGTAGAGAAGTGTTTCCCCCGGTCAGGAAGTGACAGGAGTCTTCCTCTGCAGGTGGATGTCACTCACATCACTATCTATTCCTCCACTAACATGTTTCAGGTGGATTAGGTCTTTAGCTGGAAAGAAGGTTTAGGTTTCATGCCAGAAGCACCATGGGGCACATTTATCAAAACAAGAAGTGTGCTGTCCATTGCAACAAGTGAGCCTCCTTCCATTTTATAACGTCCATTTAAAAAATTACAGCTGTCAATTGGTTGCCATGGCAAACAGTCACTTTTTCCATCATTTGAATAAAGAAGAATGCATGCACAGTAGTGCAATAAAAAAGCCATGCAATTTTAAACTGTAGCTAGGGCCACATCGGTCCTATCTATCTCTATCTATCTATCTATCTATCTATCTATCTATCTATCTATCTATCTATCTATCTTTCTATCTATCTATAAACAAAATTGCCAAAAATGGAGAAAATAGGTAGGACTATAAAACTGGAGTCATTGGTCATTGTTAATAGGAATGTTTTTGCAACCTTTTACTTGGAAAATTAAAAAAAAATATTCTAATTGCTT